GGTCACGATGTGGGACCCTGGCGACGACGTCCACGCTGTTCAATGCCGAGGCTATTATGTGTGATCAATGTGGGGGCACGACGCAATCCGAGGTCACGATGTGGGACCCTGGCGACGACGCAATCCACGCTGTTTGATACGCACTGTATGCGACTGACGTCAAGTTCCAGCCAGCACATCGTCCCTCCGGCCGCGTCGGTGAACAAAAGCACTATTTTAGTGGTAAACATAAGCTCCTCTGCTTTAAGATAGTAGCGTCCGTTTCACCTGAGGGGTTGCTTGTCGAAATGAGTCCTCACAAACCAGGGTCTGTGTCGCTAACCTCACCATGTTCCGAAGCCACCTGGACCAACACACTCAAGCGCTTGCGAAGGACAACTACGCCGACACCATCAACAACAACGGCGAACTCTTCCGAGAGCATCTTTCCTTGTGGGTGGTCCTTGTGGACAAAGGCTACATCGGTCTTGCGGCGTCGGCGCGTGCCATTCACCCGAAGAAGAAGGCTGTGAGTGGCGCGTTAGACCGATTTGATATGGACAGGAACAAGGAAGTTTCTTCTGACCATGTCGTTGTCGAAAACTTCTTTGGCTGGGTGTGCTCACTTTGGAAAGTATCCTACGCGACATTCGTCTGGGGTCAGAAACTCTATGATGACATTCAGCGATTCACGTTTGCCCGTGGCATTGATGCCGTTGTACCTCGAGGACAATGCCACTATCTGTCATGGCACGCTACAAGAGCATGGCAGCTGAGAACACCTCAAAGAGAGCCGCGAACCAACGTAGATACCTACAGCGCCGTGCAGAGCGGTTTGCGACTGAAGCTGCCCGCGCCAGCCGTACTTCGCGGGGCACATTCTTGTCTCCCATGGTGAGTGGTCGCCGCTGATAAATACAGTACATTGGTTTTAATAAATCATTTTGCTATTTGTATGCAATAAAATGATATAAATACACACAACAAGTATAAATATATCTGAACTATTATATTATGGAAACTGTGTCCTTGATTCCGATCTACTCAGCTATCATTTACAATCGAATCATTTTGGAAATGACTTGGACATTACTGAATTGCAGACTCATGGGGAAAACACTGTATTTCTTCAGAAATACCCGAGCAAATCATCAGTAGCTAAAGCATACATAGTATTAGATATACACGAAGCTTTCACTGAAACATTCATGCTCTTCCGAAATACGAACTGGTTTGGTGACCTATTACGTAGCAACACCATCGGTGTTGTTTCGAGGCAATAGCTCTTATGAAATCGTTAAGGTATGCTCAAAATCGTTAAGCCGTCATGAAAAACGTTAAAAAAACGTTCATACCCACCAAAATTCTGATAAAATGGCGCCTCTATGTGCGATGTCATACCAATTTCATCAGATGGCTCAAGGACAGCCGAACAATTCAGTAGTATAGTTGTCCTTCAATGTTTGCTCCCTGGTCAAAACGAAATTCCCATATAAAACAATACCATATAAACTTTTCAAGGGTTGATTTGAATTGACACAAAAGGCTGCATTTACCTCACTTTGACAGGCTTAATTTATGAGGACATTTGAGAATATGCCGCAGTGCAAACAACAAGGAAATCGACTCTCGATTCACGAGAAGAACTGGATTCGGGCGTATTATGCGTCTCACGTGCCCATTAAGACAACCGCCGGTGCAGCAGTGGGTCACGGAACAATTTGGCCACACGCTCCACATCACGACCATTCGCCGAATCCTGAGGGACAAGCACAAGATCGAGACCTATAACATAAAGGAGGAGTCGGCAAAGGGTCGGTACAACTTTCAGGGGCCAAAATACCCTAAATTGGACAAACAAGTTGCCGAGTGGGTGGTCGTGGCGAATGCAAAGAATGCATGCGTGACTGGCGAGTTATTGGCGAGGAAGGGGCTCCAAATCACCACCGAGCTGAACCTACAAAATCAAGTCAAATGCTTCCATGGGTGGTTGTACCGCCGTTGATGGAACACCTCCAGTCTCTTTACATTAGCTCCGGTCATTCGCTGGAGCGATTGCTTAATTGAGTTTGATGTATGAATCACTGGTTATCCACCAAAAAACCCTTCAATTTCAATATTTTGTATCACCTTTATGTCATCAACTTCCTGCAATAGTTTATGTCGTTGCATGGGAGCAAACCTTGGAGGACAACTGTACTGTTTCTATTCTCAGAAATTCTGTTTCAAAGAGGGAATTGCAGTATCCGGAGAGAAGTGAAGATAATTGCCCTATTCAATACAACCGGATAAATGGTAATTATCCGGAGGGCATGCAGCTCGATGTGGACTGCGACGTCAAGTTACGTCTGACCTTTGAAACGGCTGAAGGAACGCTGGTGATTGCGAACCTCAAGTGTTGGATGGTGGCGGCGCCACTACAAGACGGCCTGGGCGACCTAATCGTGAGTCGCGACGTGATGGCGAAGCTCGGGTATTGTCCCCGTTCGTTGCTGCTGAGTGCGCGGCGAACGCAAAGCGTGTACGACCTGAGCCAGTTGGGCGGCAAGGACACGCCGCTAATGGCCGCCATGAAGGTGGTCGAAGCGATGGAAAACTTGCCATCATTGCCTGAAGAAGCGTCGCTGTATCCCGAGGAAGAACAAGCATGTTTTCCTCAAGTGACTCCTGTTTGGTCGAAAGAAAACGACCAAGCTGTGGTGCGCGCGAAGCTGAAGGACAAGGTCAGCGAATGTCGTGCCGCGGGATGCGGCAAGGATTTCGCTGCGGTGCTGTGGGCGCTGTTATTGCGCTACGAAGACGTGTTTCGGCTTTCGTTGTGCCGAGATCCGCCGGTGGACGTGGCGCCGCTAGTGTGACGCTCAAGGCTGGCGCTGAACCGATGCGGTGCAAGGCGCGCCGCTATTCAAAGGAGCAGCGGGACTTTATGGCACAGCACGTTGCAGAGCTACATGCAGCGGGGTTATGTTACAGCAATCACCGGTCAAAATGGTGCTCGGCACCATTAATCTTCAAGAAGGCCGAAGCGAACGATTTTCGCATGACTGTGGACGTCCGTCCAGTGAACGCACAGACGGAGCGCATCATTTGGCCGATGCCGATGCTGGAGGTGATTTTGGATCACCTCGCAGGGGTGCTAGTGTGTTATTTACCCTCGACTTTTTCAAGGGTTATTGGCAGTTTGCGCTGGACGAAACGTCGCAAGAAATGTTTTGTACCTGACCGACACCGGCGTGTACACGCCAACGCGCGTGCTCATGGGGGGTACCGACAGCGTGGCGTACTGCCAATCGTCGGTTTAAGAAATGTTCCAAGACGAGCTCTACCGCTCGTTGTTGATCTGGTTGGACGATTTGTTGGACTACGACAAGTCCAAGGAGGGTTTGTTGGCCGCGCTCCAACGCGTCCTGTCCATCTGTGAGTCGCACGGACTCAAGCTGAACCCGAAGAAGTGTCGGTTCTTTGAAACCGAAACGCGCTGGTGTGGCCGAATTTTGTCGTCCGAAGGAGTCAAACACGACCCGGAACGCATCAAGGCGTTGCAAGATCTGAAGATGCCGGTGACTGGGCAAGATCTGCAGCAATTCATATGCGCCATGAATTGGATACGCATGTCGATCCCGAAGTACAAAGTCATTGTACAGCGGATTACCAATCTGCTAGAGTTGGTGTACAAGGCGGCTGGTGGACGCACTCGACAGAAGGTGCGTAAAGTTGTGTTGGTCGACGTGGGATGGAACGCTGAGTATGTAGCGTGCCTCACAAGTTGCAAGGATGCCCTGGGCCGTGTGGTGATCCTCGCCCATCCAAAGCCGCAGCGGCTTATTTGTGTGTTCGCCGACGCCAGCGATTTGCATTGGGGCGGCGTAGTGACTCAAATTCCTCACGATCAGGTGGATCGTGAATTGGACGCGCAAGACCATGAGCCGCTGATGTTTCTGAGCGGCACATTTTCTGGCGCGGCGCAACGATGGGCAATCGTCGAGAAGGAGGCGTTCTCGATCGTGGAGTGTCTGAAGCGTGCAGACTACCTGCTCCACAAGCCCGGTGGATTTGCGTTGTTCACTGACCACGCAAACGTCAAGTTCATTTTCAACTCGGTCAGTGTGAACGCCGCGATCCCGAAGTACACGGCAGCGAAACTCGATCGCTGGGCGCTACTACTCATGGGGTACGATTACACCATTTATGACATCTCTGGTGATGTCAACGTGTGGGCGGATTTGTTGTCCCGAGGGGGAACAAATTCCAATCTTATATGCCCCATCGTGCATGTGCCGTTGCAGATTTCGCCGTTGCAAAATGATGAATTCATTTGGCCAACCATAGCCGAGATCGTGGATGCTCAAGTCCAAGCCGTTGGAAACGGAGAATTTCCTGTCGCCGAGCTGGTGGAACACCAGGTGGAAGTAGGCGACAACGACGTGCCGGTGGTCAAGACCGCCACTGGAGCGGTGTGGATTCCGACGTCTGCCAGTGTCCTGCAGATGCAGTTGTGTGTGGTCGCGCATTTTGGTGTGGGAGGACACCGTGGGATCAACGCGACGAAGCAGATCCTGGGGGATCGATTTTGGTGGTCCGACATTGCCTCGGATGTGTCGTACTTTGTGGGCCGTTGTTTGCGTTGTGCCAGTACGGGTGGTCATGTTTTGCTCCCGTTTGGTGCAACGGCGCATGCCACAAAGCCCAATGAAATTCTTCATTGGGATTTTCTCTACATGGATGGTGGCTACATCCTTGTGGCCAAGGATGATTTTAGCCAGTTCAAGTGGTTGTGGGAATCCGACGTGGCGAACGCGCAAGTTGTGGCGGGTTGTTTGCTGCGTGGTCAGCGTTATTGGCGTGTGTTATCACTGCGTGAGTGACCAGGGATCCCACTTCAAGAACGAGGTGATTGCCAAGCTCAAGCATGTGCTCGGGGCACATCATTTTACCACGGCCAGATGTCCGTGGGCGAACGGAACAGTCGAAAGTGCGATGAAAACGACCCTGAAGGCGTTCCGTGCACTCCTGTCCGAGTGGTTGATGCAGCCAGACCAGTGACGGCTGATTGTTCCAGTGGTGATGTTGGTCCTCAACCAAAGTCCGCCCGACACACTCGGTGGTGTGGCACCGATTACTGCCATGACGGGTAACCGAACGATGTCTTGGATACCCCTTGGATTGGATTCCAATTCCGGCGGCGACAAAAGTTACAACGTTACACGACTTGCTGTCGTGGCGAAATGATGACATTGCGGCGATGGCAACCGCCTTGGACAAGATGCATGCGACGGTGTTGGACGCTGCGACAAGAAAGCGTCAGAAAAACCGTGAAAGAAGATCGAAGAAAAAAGGTGCGGAAATGGCCCAGTTCGACGTGGGCGATTTTGTGCTTTACATGGACGTGTGGTCGATTTCGCACTCAAAGCTGAGTGTTATATGACGTAGACCAGCTCAAGTAGTCAAGACAACATCCGACTGGATTTTTGAAATCCAAAATATGGTGACGGGGGTGGTCCAAGCCCACAGCAGTCGTCTCAAGTTTTATGCCGACGACGCCTTGGATGTGACGGAAGAATTTGCCATTCGCAGAACCCCTGAACCCCTCCCAAGAAGGTATCAAAGTGTTCGGTTAGGTTGGATATCCTAGGTGTGATCCTATTCGCTAGTTAGATTATTGGCTGCCCAGCAGCTGTCTGATTAGGTTAGGGTTAAGCCCCAGTGACTACTTGCCGCTGGGGGGAATTCACTTTGTGATTTGCCTTTGGATCGGACTTCGCAAGGTCCGTCAAGTTGAGACGCAACAACCACCTCTTCGCCGAAGGCATCAAACCAAGTCGAACACAACATATACTAAAAAGTATGGTGCCTGCTCATGCAATGCCACTTTTGAATTCCATGGCGTACCCAGTTTTGATTTGTGGGATGACGGACCCCGGGGGGCAATTTCCATCCTGTTGCGTTCTTCATCATTGGCAAAGAGTCCACTGACGAGTACGAATGGGTGATTTGATGACAGTGTACGAGGCGGTTGTTGGTAGTACCCTCAAATTAAACTACGCCATGGGGATGCTGCCAAAGCCCCATGGCTGCAATGAAGAACCTGTCCCAACTTGGAATCAAGACGCTGCTGATGTGTTTCTACCATTGTGTGGCTTGCGTCAACAACCGTTTGGGCGGGGCTCTAAAGCAAGTCAAGGCTTTGGTTTCCAAGCACATGTTTAAGATGTACTTCAGCCGGTGTGAACTTGAATGCCAGCAGTACTGGGAAGCAGCGAAAGTCGCATGGTCGGCATGCAAAGTTCTCGTTGCCAGGGACTTTGCACGGTACTTCGAAGAGCAATGGTTCTCGGGGGACACTGCGAATTGGCAGGCGTACCATACAATCAACTTGGATCTATACTTCAGTTCGACCTGATGTTCTACTTGTAGGGATATTCACCCAGCGCACGGTTCATGGTTTATGCGCAACGTTCCTTCAGTTGGGCACAATAGCCGAAGAGATATCGACGTACAGAGCCCAACCCCCCCAACCCCACCATTGCAAACGAGCCCATCGCCTAGCAAGAAGCTACTTCGGCGCTTTCGACGTTTGATGCAGTTTGCGCTGTTAGAAGTTGTCGCCCCAATTTAGCGTTTGGATTGGAGGTTATCCCCCCCTTTCCTGCCATTCGAAATGAGCCCGACAACACGCGAATTCGCGGCATTATCCCTCATCGTGCCATTTTAGTGGCAATTGCGTTTTTTGAAGACGACGCCGCCGAAGGTGCCTTGTGGATCGCATTGCAGTAGGCGGTATTACATCTGTGCCCGGAGAGGCGATTTGGCCCTCGCCAATGCATACTACCACAGAGACCGGGCGAACAACATACGCCATATATCGATTTGCGGTGGTCATGCCCAACCGCCGAATGGTTGATTTGGACAACTTTCCCGGGACACTTATCCTGCTAGGGCAACTACTTCTTCAAGGTTAAGTACTGTTACCACTTGCTATTTGCTCTGCAGCAACAAATCAACGACGTGCGGGGCATGCCTTTGCCCCCTCACCCCGACGAAGCGAGCCAGCCCCGCGATTCTCTGGCCGTCGCCGAAGCTCTGGGGTAGGAGGAAGTCATGGAGGAAGAACGCTTGTAGTAGGTGTTGGCTTACTACTATCTCTGTACTGACAAGGTAATCACCGTGTATTAGTAGTTAATACTCAAGTTCATGCTCGAGTACGTTGTGGTTTTATGATGCAGTGGGGGAGGTGGCCCACCAGCACTCGTGTACCGATTCCTGCAATCTCCGAACCCACAAAGTACTGTTTCAAGGGGTACGACGTCGTACAACCCCCAATGCCCATGATGAATCAGGTAGTTTTGGTGAATAGCAGAACTGACTGTGATATAAACAATAAAAACGTATTTAGAAGTCAGGCGTGAACTCGGGACTGTTGTGGTTGTTAAAGTGACACTCAACCCCTGAGCTACAGAATCTGTTATAATTTTGTTATATAATGAATAGAGAAACGTTGTAATTCATGGCCGTCACTTTCAAATTCGACATCGTGGGCATTGCACCTGCGCCTCAGATAATGGCTGGGGTACAATGCGTAGTAGCTACAATTGATCTAATAACACTACACACGAATAATAAGTTGTCAATAACCCATGTTCATGTTATCGTCGTCGATGCATGTCATGTCGCCGTCGAATGTCCGTGTCCGGCCAACGCCGATGGCGATGGTCCTTTACGTGCTCATTGGAGCGGTCCAGCCTCGGTCGGTGGTGCGATCGTGACGCGTTCGATGCCGCTCGTCCTTCTGAACATGATGGATCACATATGCCCTACCGAAGTCAGTTGCTTGTGCCCTGTGGTAATCGATGACGTAGTCCTCCACCGGATATCGATGACGTGGTCCTGCGCCGGTCGTGATGTGTGCTGCAGTGTTTCGTGGCTTTCGCGGCGTTTCGTGGCGATCGTATTGTTTAGACCCGCCCGAAGTGTTTGGTGGCATCGTTCTTGTGGCAGTCACTGTTTGCGAGTGTCCTACGCCATCGAAAGCGGTTCAACCAAGGTCAGTGGCATCTGTCGTGGGTGTTGCAGTTGATATCCCAACAAAAATTGAAGTACCTGCGCTGTGATGCTTCATGCTTGTGTCGCTGCTGCCGTGCGCACCCTGTGGCGTGGTAGGCAATGGTCCAAGCGGTCGGCGTCGGTGGCACAGCCCGCCAGTCACGCGTTTCTGAACAAGGTGTTACCTGTGACCGTGGATGTAGTTCTGTTGGGGGTTGGGTACGGATGCGTTTGGCGTTTGGGCGGGTCCTCATCCACGGCAGATCGGGGTGGTCTAGGCAGCGCGTGTGAAGATGGTGGAGTTGAATTCTACCTTGTGCGTTCTGAATTGTACTTTTGTTAAACCTCGTCCCCCATTCGGGGGGGGTCGCCGCCCTCGTCCCATGAGCCTCACACGAGATTGTGTCCACTACGATATATACATTATGGGTTTACATTGCGGGGTCGAGTCGAATGTTGGTCGATGCCTCGTCGCATGTATTGATATTACCAGTCCACGAGACCATCGAGGACCGCTTACGAATTTATATCAATTTTCAGAGGGAGTTGAGCGACAAAAAACCTTTACCACTTCCAGTGCATTCAAAATCAATTCATACAAGTATTATTCGGAAGCAGGTTATTAGACAACGATATCCGTAAGAATGCTCTGGTCGTCGTCACTTTCTTCATCGTCACTTGACTCGTCATCTCCAGGCAGCGAGGGTTCATTCGCAGCTTCATCGGCAGCTTCCAACTCGACAAGGTATGCACTCAGTTCAGACACTTTCTTCTTCGTATGACTGATGCATCGATAGATCACGTCACTTGGTACTCCCCCCAACGCAATGTCCAAGCGCCACCGCACATCCTCCATCGTCGTCTCCGTGGTATATTGCCGACCGACGATCCCCTTCACGTAAGCCCAAATGTACTCGATTGGTTGGAGATCTGAATGGTAGGGTGGCGTGTAGACAACCTCATATCCACGGGAGCGAGCAAGCGTAACGACTTCGAGTACGACATTTTCCTTGATATAAGCTTTCAGCTTCGCCCATGTGACCGTTCTGTGTTCATCTACCGTAGCTTCGACTCCAATACGCTGACAAGCTTCCAGTAGGTCCTGCTTCTTCCAGGTGCCTTTTGGGGTTGCAAGCGGTAGCCCCTTGTGGTACGACGCATTGTCCATCACAATGACAGCACCTGTCTTGCCGAGTAAGTCCAACTCGTCCATGAGCTGCTTGATCCAATCAACGAAATAGGCGTGGTCAAACATTGAGTGATAGTTTTTGGGATGGCGTCGGCCACCGCGAAAGACCCGCGTCGTAAGTAGCTTGGACCCATCGGCTCCGTCGTCCAAAATTCCGGCGATAATGCACAGTCGCTGCCCCTTGTGCTTGGGTTTTGTTGCGTTATCGAGCTTATCGTCCGGGAAGTACTAGCTGTCATTGTGCCGCGCTTAGTTTTGGTGAATATAGGATTCATCCATGTAAATAACAGGTCGATGAGGTGTTAGTTCAATCGTACCAGACATGAATTTGATGTATTTATCTCGAGCAACAATAACTTCATTAGTCAGACCATATTTGACCTGACCTTTTTTGTGTCCTCGTTTGAATCCTTGATTTGATAGGTAGTCTTGAACAGATCGTAGACATGCCATTTTATCTTTTTCGTCGGTTTCATCAAAAACAACATAACCATGTTGTGCTAAAACCGTCATAACATCTTTTGCCACAACTCGGGTTCGAGTTCGACGTCGCTCACGGACAAATTCTACAATTAGACGCAACACTGCTTTTGTCTTTGGAACTCGTGATGAATGTATGGTATGGCTAGCTGGTACTTGTTTGACTACAATTGACTTTGAATCTCTATACTGTTGCCATACCTGTCGTACAGTTTTTTTACTGCGCCCAAGCAGCATTGCAATGTGTTCATTCACTGAATCTAACTTCAAGTGCCTGAAGTGTACATGCAGGCGCAGGATGTCCAGGCGTTCCTCTTTTGTCAGCTCTCGTGGCCGCTCACTCCTAACGTACGACAGTATTCCATCGTATTCAACTTCTGTGATGCTGGTGTCACGGGGCATTGCAATGTGCACATGAAATTGGTGGCGTGCAATGCACACCTGGAAGCGATTCACTATCCGGACGATATTTAACGATTGGAGGATCTATCGTGCATAAAATATCCAAAACTCTGAGAGAAAAATATCTATTGAGTTTGAAAGGATATAAAGTTTAGCATGTCCATTTCGACTACAAATAATTTGTTTTACAATTCAATCTGGACGGCTATCAAGTTTCACGTCGAATTAACCATGCAGGCGTATTCTGCATAAAAAACTGCATAGATGCATGTATTTTGATCGAGGAAGATTGGGTGGAACATGAAAACATTCGTTACAGGTCCTCGATGGTATCGTGGACTGTACATACAGTCATGCCCCCATTTTTGCACGACCATGATTTGATAAATAAATACAGGTATTGGATTCCAAAGTGTAAACGCTTTATATAACATCATACAAGTTGGCATTAGCAGAGTAGTGAGAATCTGCAGAGGCCACTTAAAAAGCCATCTTTTCAACCCATATGCTGGATAGTTGAAGTATACGGTCCGATTTTCCGGAAATCCTTCGCGTTTTACCGCTTTCTAGTCTGTTTTTCACGGTTAGCCTGCAATACTAACCTGAACGTTTGTACAATACGTAGTACCAGTGCTGTACAAATATTCAGGTTAGTATAGTACGTAGTACTGTACAAATACTTGTGGATACAATACTAACCTAACAAAATAACGATACTTTGGGCAATGATAGTTTTCGTTCAAGAACCTCGCCGAATCCGTGACAAATGGCATGACAGAAGGGAAACGTTGCTCGTAATTAGCAGTTGTCTATTCCCATTAATGGATTATCATTTTTTAGACATTCCTCCGCGAGGGCCGACACTAGAACCACATGTTATGGAACCGCTGCGCCAATTGTAACGCGCCTGCTCGACCACGGGTCGGGCACCGTGACCATCTTGGAGTCGCTCAAGTACTTGCTGGCGACCCCTGAGTGGACCCCCATTAGGCCCGTGGAGTTCCACTGGTATGCCGCCGAAGAAGTCGGCCTGAAGGGGTCCAAGGCAATTGCGGCGGAGTATGCGAAGGCCGACACAGCCGTGTACGCCCAATTGCAGCAGGACATGACGGGTTACGTCCGCCCTGGCACGACCCCCATCGTGAATTTGATCTCCGACTTCACGAACGAGAACCTTAACACCTTCGTGGAGACGCTCGTCACGACATACTTGGGCCTCCCCGTGACCCACTCACTGTGCAAATACGGCTGCTCGGACCATTTCTCGTGGAACGCGACGGGGTACCCCTCGACGTATCCGTTTGAAACCAAGTTGAAGGACTTGAACCCGTTCTTCCACTCCAAAAAGGACACGATCGACACCATCGATTTCAACCACATTGCCGATTTCACCAAGCTCTCGATTGCGTACGTTGTCGAGCTGACTCAGGGCAGCGCCACGGCATGCTAATTGCCTCATTGTTGTACCATTCCACGGGCTAGCTTCCCTGTATCGTGTCCGAAACTGATTCCCGTTAAGAATAAATGTCAATCAACCAGACTGATTCATTGCCTTTGGAAAAGTAAATCCATTTTTAATTACCTACTTAAAATGAACTTTAGTGTCGAACGCAACCAAAAACGTATCGCAAGCTGCGTAGCGTGATGCTACACCAACAAAACTGATAGCACATTTGGACTGTAACGTTAATAGAATCCACAACTTTAGATAGGAAGTTGTACTTACTCTGAGTAAGCCACCCAACGACAGGATTTCAACCGAGTAATGTATTAGGCAAAATGAACTAGAAAGGGTAGCCTTCTACGTCCATATGGCCAACCCCGAGTCTGTCGGGACTCCAGACGACAACCCGGCAATGGCTTTCGCTTCGTCTTCATCGTGGAAGAACCTCTCCAGTTCCCTGGTGCAGCGACCCTTGCCGCCTTGACCTCCGTCATGGCATCCAGGACTCTTTGCACAACGTTATAGTCCAAGACGGACCGGCGCACGCCCAGCAGCCTCTCGATGTAGGCTCGGAATCTCTAGCGCCTTGAAAATATCGACAACCTCTCAGCAGATTAATCGCGAGCTTATGCGAAGTTGCAAGATCTCACCATATTGTTTGCCCCTCTATCACCACGATTGCCTAGTAATTCCTTGAGACGTTATCATTTCACTTGTTCTTGTTGTGTAATATTCTCCGGCCACCTCACCTTTTAACAGTGTAAGTAACAACTAATTGTATTTATCATTGTAGGATGTGTGTGTGGTAGTCCAATCCATGAGGGCCATGAAGACTTGACGTAACCTTCTACTGTATTATACACAATGTCAAATAATTACTACGTAGTAACCCATAAGTCAAAATAGCAGCTTCGGCGAGATTTTTTAATGAAAACTATCATTGACCCAAAGTAATGGCAAAAAACTGATAGGGTAGTTATTATGTTCTAATTCACGTTAGTATTGCATCCTCAAGTACAATTCCCTCATTAAAACAGTTCTACTGTTGTTTTGACCCGAAATACTGTTTCAATGAGATTTATAAGGAACTTTTAATGCTCAGACCACCTCACCTCTTACTAGGGGTAAGTGCATCTCAGAGATTTAGCATCGTACTACTCACCAGGGGTGTAGGACGGAGTCCCAGGTTACAGGGCTACTGGCGAAACAAAATTTCGGGTCAAAACAACAGTGGAACTGTTTTATAGAGGGAATTATTCCCAAGTATTAGTATACTGAAAGTCATTTGTCGATCGTTCTGTTTACACAATTGTGAGGGGCGGACATACTGCGGAGTTCACGAGAAACTCTGGGAGTGCCAAATAAGGTTCGTTAACGAGTTTGTCAATCAGTCGTTAACAGAGCAGTTCATGCTGGTAGTGTTCCAAGACATCATCTGAAATATCCATATGGTGTGTTGTAGGCGCTCGTCACCAAAGTGGTTAGCCAATTAGAATCGAGTATTCGATTTGACATGACCAATCAAGCTTCTTGGATTTGAAAAAACTTGATTTATCTATTTGTAACGGTTGCTTGGATTTACAATTAATCTAAATACTGTACATCCGAATATGGAGGTGATCGTATTTCTTAGGGGTTGTATTTTCCCGGTTCGCTGTAGCGTTTTACAGTAAATCCGTGAGAAATAATTCTTGAACCCGTGTTAATTTGCACTTTGTAGAGTACAGGTAATCAACGGATAGGACGGACATTTCGAAATGTCATTGGATAGTTGCTAGTGGCCTCGCAATGGTCAAGTGCTATATGCGAGCAACGTTTCCCTGTTGTGGTTGAACCATATCAGTCAAGAGATACTTCCAAGCAGAAGAGTAGTAGGGGTAGGGGATTATTCGTAAGCATATGCAAAGTTACAAAATC